GGCAACAACCCCCCGTCTTCAAATGTTGAGAATTGATGGTGGTTACCCAGGGATTTGAGATAAAGTACATAACAGTACTAGTATTTGAAATAAAGGGTATCATGTTGTTCTTACGTGACCACAAGTAAAAAAGAGAGCAAATACATTGTACAGTACCTGACTCTTTCTCTTGAGCCTTCCTGATTTGAAGGATGTTGCTGCATGTTGTACCCCAACGACATCTCCCATGTTTTCTCTTTGTCATGACAAATATTAAATACTGAAAAAAAATATTGACACTTTAAGGACGATGACATATCCTACTTAGGTATAGTGTATCAAGTGATAAGTTTAACGTTTCAGACACCCAAAATAAAACGGTTTTTTCATTATTGAAGAAATATTTTGGAAATTAAGATTGGCCTTGTCTTTCTGAGAAAAAGGTATGTGGCTAAATGTTTTTTAGAGTAAAGGATATTTCACTTACATCTAAGCTGTCGTTAATTCAAATAGAATAATGTAAATAGAAGACTTAACTTGAGTAATAAGGGATGAAATCATCCGAATTAAAGCTACCAAAACAAGGACCACACATTAACTTGATAAGGCTGAAATTTGATTCATCGAGAACCACATACCTCGTTTTACGGTGGGACTTTGTTCTCTATTAATTCGTTATAAACGCTGTGGGTTTTTCTCGTTGTATAATAAATGTCACCGTGGGGAACGCCAACGGTAGAGTGAAAAATAGCAGCCACAACTTTTGTGCAACGAACTTCAAAATGGCCGCCAATTCATAAATTAACAACAATGCAGTTCGCGGGAAGTTGTAAAATTGCAAAGGGACTGTGCACTAGTTTCCCATATCGCTTCATTTGGCGGGAAAAGGGCTATCAAAAATATCTTTCACAGAGCCGCATACGTACATTGTGCCAAAAATATGCAGTTTATAAGCAATCGAAAAAATAGAAGAAGCCGGATTAATCCCCTAGATAGTTCACAAAATGCTTGGACTAATACACACGGCTTACAGATGTATAAAATTCCACCAACGGACAACATAACCTTGGAAGAGTTCGAAGAGTTTGCCATTGATCGATTGAAAGGTACGCGATCATGTCTTGAGAGATTATAAACTAGTATCTTGCTTAAAGAACAAGAGTTTTGATTGTTTTTCGCGTAATTCTCTTCTCGAGACATTGAGGGAGTAAGAATCAGTTGGTGCTACCTGGGAGAAAGGCTATATTCCGATTTTAGAAAAGTGTAGATATCAACTGCATGCATGAATTTGTGAATTTCAATGCGTTGGTCAAAATAATTTGGTATTTGTCGTTTCGTGATGCCTTATCTCATACGGACAAGTGTTAAACGACCTACGCCATTAACTTAACTTTTATAGGTGGAAAATACCAGGATTCACCCGTGATACTGTACGTAAGCTTGCATAAATGATTTCAAAACATATTTCTACAGAAAGACTACAAGCTTACCCTTTGGGGAGGTAGTAAGGATGTTTTAGCTGAAGCGAATGCTGTGTTCTGATTGGCTACGAGAGGGAGCAAGATGGGCCTATCTTGCAAGCTTTGTGGTCATATTTTACACTTAATGTCAGATCCCGAGGGAAACAGTTAGTTTTGTTTTCCCGAGAGTCCCGATGTTTCCCGAAACGAAGCCGAGGGAAGCATCAGGATTAGAGGAAAAACAAAACTAACTGGTTTCCCAAGGGAACTGACATAAAGTGTTTTGTTATATTTCTAGACCCTCACTTCAACAGCAACAAGAGATAACCCGAGCGAACCAAAACAGTCAACTCGGTACTTATAACAACACCAATTTAATTCTCAAAACTTATATGATCTGCATCATTTTCCTCCACTAGCTGCTGTTTCTCTTCTGGGATAACTTTTAAAATTGTTGTTTTTTAGCTTGAGGCTTTATGATTGTGTTGTTGTGTTCATTCACGAAAAAGAAAACTGGCGGTGTTTTTCCACCTTCTGTCTCACCACTTTCCACCCGTGCTTTGATCACGTGCTGTAATGTATCCCGAACAGGGTACATTGTCTTATGTATCATGGAAAATACATTTAAGCAAATAAAAACTATCCACGACAATACTAATGGATAAAAGGGAAAACTTGTTCATATGATACAAATTCTGCCATCTGCTGTAAGCTTGACTCAAAATCTCTCTATTATCATACAGTTCTGGCTTTCTTGTTGACTTGTTGTCACAGGTCTCCCCTCCAACCCACCACTGCAGGTGACAATTAAGACAAAGGCCGGCAAATGGTACCTATAAAAATATTTTGCGAGTCTCAGAAACTTTTCATCCAATCTCAAAATCTTAGAACTGAAGTCCTGTTGTTGTTAGCTTTGTTTGAACTTTTTTAGCTTGCGAGCAAGCTCCATTTGGGGGATATCGTGAAAAGTACACGCGCGAGAGGCACGCGCTTCGCTCACCCAAATAGGAGAGCTTGCTCGCAGGCTATAACTTTTTGCTTTAAAGTCACAGATTTTTATCAACCCATTCTTAAAGTACTTAAACAATGGCAAACACCCGCTCAAAGAGTTTACTCACTATTGTCTTTCTTTTTAGTTCTCAGAGAGGTGGAAACATTTGGTATTCGATACAAAAGAGGGTCTAAAGATTATGAAAATGCCATGAAGGAAAGCTTGAAAAAATTCTTGCCCCTGGCACAGAGAGCCACAAACAAGGTAGGGTATTTTGCTGCTATAGGAAGTCTTATTAAACAGATGCTTTCAATTCCTTTATCAGCTTACAGTCATGCAGGTAGGGGTGAGGAAAACCTTTATCTCATGTCTTGATTTACTTGTATGAAACTATTGTAGAAATCACATTAAATTTATGTGCACTGTACTATGAAACCCATGAGAGAAAAGAAGAAGGTGACCCCAAGGTCCATTTACAATAAGCAAGTAAGACAATGGGAACAAGGATTGCGTAGTGGTGAGAGCACTCGCCTCCCACCAGTGTGGCTTGGGTTCAAATCCCAGTGTTGACGCCATGTGGGTTGAGTTTGTTGTTGGTTCTCTTCCTTGCTCCAAGAGGTTTTTCTCCGGTTTCTCCAGTTTTCCCCTCTCCACAAAAACCAACACTTCCAAATTCCAATTTGATCTTGAACGAACGGACACATTTAAACGAGTTCATAAGAACTCCTAAGTGCTTTGTGGGTAAACAAATTACAATTTACGATTTACAATAGACCATTTCCGAGTTCTAAAAATTCTCACTTCAAAATGAGGCTAATTGCAAAACCATTGTGAAAATGTGTTTTATTTGCATGAGAATAAATCATTTTCATATCGCTTTGAAACAGAGGCCGAAGGTTTCTCAGAAATGGCTTATTTCCTGGACACTCTAAAGTGACAATTTAGAGAGTAACCACCTAATACAGGTCTGACTGTAATGGCCTCTTATAAAAAAACATTAACATCTTGCTAAATTAAATATTGTGATCTCTACAGAACACAGAGGAAGAGTTCAATGAAAGAAGAAAAGATCATATCTCTCATTTTATCCTTCGTCTTGCTTATTGCAGATCGTAAGTGAACATATTTATCATCTTTTATCTTATGAATTAACTTACTGTCACATTTCAGCCTAGGTTGGGGGTACATTTTTCGGTGTACTCCATGAATTTTTGTGTGTCTATGCTGCTGGTACATAGAAACCTTTCCGGTTGGAAAGTAAATGGAACAAAAACTTTTTGCATCATTTCCATGGAAAATTTCCAGGAACAACAGAATGTGTGAAAAGTTCATCCTGTTTTCCCGGTCGCAATGTTCCAAACAGAGATTTATGTTCCATTTCTTCAAAGCCATCTTTGATACAAGTTTCAGACTCTTGCGGCTGTTTTTCCGTAAAATCCGGCAGATTAGTGCAAATTAATGGTAAGTGCTATTCTGGGATGAAATTTACCAGTCTTGAATTTGCTTACCATTAATTTGCCTAACCGTGAACCAACCGGTCTGCCCATGTATAATGGTAAAAACAAAACATTGTACAATATAGGCTGACAAAATAAAACAAACCTGATGTGTGGCTAGAAAACAAATTCCTACCCAATCAATAGTTGTAAAAATGGCTGCTCAAGGTTGGTCACTGTAATTTGTACCAAACATTGTAATAAACCTTTCTGATCTAATCTTTTAGGGAAGATCTCAGGCGGTGGTTTCTGTCTCAAGAAGTTGAGTTATTTCGGTAAGTGAAGTATAACTATTGCCTAATTATGGCCCCTAAATCAGAGGCCGTATAGATAGGAATGTATTTTTTTAAGAGAAAAAATACATCATTGTCAGATCCATTGAATTTGATTAAAAGATAAATTTTTTACAAGCTTTAAAGTGATTTTACCTAAGAGCTTGGGATCAGGGTTTTACATGTAAGACTTTAAAAATTTGTGTACATCCAAAGAGGGTCTCAATAGGGTCAACTGTTAGCTGTCAAATGGCCTAACCAAATGGTTTCAAGGTCTTTTTATACAGTCAAAGCTCTCGTAAGAACCACTTCGGAAATTCGAAAAAGTGGTCCTAACTATAGAGCTGGTTGTTTAAAAGAACGAGCTCTCACAAGGGACCACATGGTAAAATAGTAAAGGGTGGTCACTTGCGGGGGCTTTAGAAACTCATTAATAATTCATAAAGAAAAACAAAAGAAATTTATGATTAACTAGTGTCTTTATATCTGATTTAGACATGGCTAAACTTAAGGGCCAATTTTGCAGACCATTAGTTTCATTTAAATGTTGATTCATAGGAAAAAGACTCTGAGTAGTCGCTTATGAGAGCTTAAAAATAAAGGAAATGTCCAGTTGGGTAATCCCAAAAGTGGTCGCAGTCGCTTACGAGAGCTTTTCATTACAAAGTTTAAGTCACAGTTCAAATGGGGTTGCACAAAGGTGGTTGTAACTCGAGCTGGTCGCTTATGAGAGTGGATGCAAGGACAGCTTCCACTATATCCCACTATTCTAGCTGCTCATCACCAACTTTTGGCTTATGAAAGATCATTAAACTGGAAAAACTAGTTCCAACATTCAAAAAATAATAAATAAGGTATTACAGGGAAAAATTTAGAATAATAAAAATAATAATAAGTATTATAATAACCTTTTCCAGCATAACTCTCCAATTTTCCACACCTTTCATGAATTCAATTCTACAGTCTGTAAACTGTGTAAAAATGGTACTTTAACTGTATCTATATCATGGTTATTGATGGATGTACACTCTATCCTCACCAGAAGTCCTAGGTTTCCTTGATAGGAGATATTTAATTTATTATTGTCCTTAATTATCCATCAACTCTGTAAAATAGGGGACTTCTCTATGTCAGACCATTACCTAGATCTTGCTGATTTACATAATTTTATTGTATTTTATGGATAGGTTTCGTTTTACTGTATTAGCCAAATGTGATACACAACAGACAGACATATTCCTGAGTGACAATGGACTGAAATACGAACCAGTAAGTGCAACGACAAAAAGCCTGTTAGAATATCATTCTTGCTGTTAATAATATTTTGCTCTTTTGCATGTAACATCTTTAACCATGTTGGTAATGAGATATACATGTAGGAACTGATGGCATGGTAATTATTCTTGTTTGCAATAAAATTTACATTTGAAGTTATTACTTTTTAATACCGAGATTTCATTTAAAAGGTAAGGATTAATGTGTCACCAATGATATTACATCATTTATACTACTACAAGAGAAATTTCTGCAATTTGATTGGCTCAGAGCAGAGGCATTTCAGCTTAATTTGAAATACCTACATGTGAAAATAACAAATCTTTTGCAGGTAGTAGTATAAACAAATAATAGCATGATTTGTATGTGATATTTGGCATAAATAACACTCATGATATTTCAAAATTGCCTAAAATTTCACTTGCCTAACAGCTCGTGAAAATTAATTACGTATAACAATTATTTTCTGAGATATCACTAGTGGTATTTATTCCAAATATCACTACAAATCATGCTATCACCTATACTAACATTAGTTTTTAGATCAGCATATGTACTGGTGTACACGTACATGTGAAAAAAAAATGCTACTTGTAATTTTTGTAAGATTAATTAATTTCATTTCTCTGCAGATCACAAATGAAGAAAGAGAGGCAAGAAAAGAAGAGCTGATGAATTCAGGATTCAACCTCACAAGTGATAAAGTACTAAATACAGACTACTTTAAGGTAAAGTTTAAAATTAATTCACACTGTTGTCAAGCAGATACACTGTAACTGAATTAAAATGATTATGTGGAAGAATTATTAAATTTTCTTTATTAATACCTTTGTTTCCCCAGGTTCCATTCTTTGATGCTCTTGAACTTGTGAGATCAAGAAAGGTTTACCTAGAAAATGTGAGTTCACTAATGAAAAGCAGGGATGCAAATCTTTTTAGAAAGGACAATAATGATGTCCAAGTTGCCATTTTACAAAACAGAAATGTTGTTGGTATTATACTCTACTGTAAGAGTTTTCAAATTTCTTTAAGTACAATCATCTTCCTTTTTTTGGACACTTGAGACCGTGAGTCACTGTGCTTATAAGTGAGAGTCCATAACATTGGGAGTTTATTTCAGTCAAATGTCGCTGGAAATTCAGTTGCAGTCTGTATTACATGGATGTCCATCAAGACAAGAGTTGACTTACAGAGTTCTCCTTATCAGGAGATAACCGGTAAAATTTACCTCCTGAAGCAACTCTTCTTACTGCCTACAACCACTTGAAGGTTTACTAAAAGTAAATAGTTTTAAAATAAATGCAAGTTGTAATCCAATCTGATTGTCACAAGGAAATGAATGAATATATGGAAAAATACAAAAGTATACACAACTTTTCTTTTTCTGGGCCACGCATTTTGGAAAGAGAACATTGAAGAGAAAGTAAAATTATTGGAATTAAACGTTTTAAGTTGTTGTCTAAAGGTGACAAAGGCCGATTTGTGTTAAAATAGGTCTTAAAATGAGGAAATGACATGTCAGAGAACTTAGGTCCTAAATTTTCCAGCTAGAGCAGAGCCATGTCCCTCACTCCACTACCCCCCTCTCCCCAAGAAAGTGTACCTCTGGTACACATTATTTGCCTTAGCAGCCATGAATGGTCCCTTATCTGCTGAGCTAAAATTTAGGGACAACAGTGGCTTATGCCAATCTTTAGTTTCAAGAAGGAAACTATTGTCTTTGGCAATAAAATATTATTGATATGTTTCATCACCACATCTGACTGCAAGTACTTTTAGAATTATTCTGAAAGTACAGACATGGACAAAGTTTATTTGGACATTGTCTGACAATTTGCAACTCTGAATTTATTGTTTTTATGGTATGTTTTGTGTTCCAGGGTTCTGCATATGTTCCAAGAGATGATCTTGTTTCCCTTGTGGCAAACGAATTTCGTGTGCAGCTGTCTCGTGCCTTGGCTGTGGGTATCTCTTGGTTTTTCGATTTTACGTGTTAATAATTGACAAGACTGATTTATTAACAGTCCAAGTTGTTTGGTCAAGATGGCTGGATATTAGCCTTGTTCTTTTTTGTGTTTTTTATTCGGTGACCTCAACAAATAAAAACGCAAAAAAGAACTTGGCTGATATCCAGCTGTCTTGACCTCACACTTGGTCAATAATGATTCTGTCTTTCCTTCAGATGACTGCAAGGGCATTACCATATCTTGAAGAAGATGAGAGACTGCTTCCAAAGTTAACAAATCTCAGGTTTGTTTTACTTGCCCAGTACAATGCAATAACATTAAGTGGTGAATTTTGTTGTCTTGTGTATGATGACTTACTGGTATTTCGTTATAATGTTTTTAATATTTAGTCGTCAGTATGTTGGACAGGATTACACTCAGAAAAAGTCTGTGGGAGGGAAAGTCACTCTGGATCAAATTGATGGGGTGAGTTTACACTGCATTCTGGGTTAAGCTGGTATCCTAACACTCACACAGTGATGTATTCCAAGGAATCCCCTCTTGCTTCAAAGCCAAGCAAAGTGCTTATGTACATGTATAACAAGGCCCTATGCATCTACATGTAGTCATTCACTAGCCTGCAAAAACAGCCATCTCTTCTTGCTCTTCACCATTGGGGATGTTTTGCCAAGAGGGACGTCTAAGTGGCAGCGACAGAAATTCCATACTGATGATGTAAATCAATGTAGCCTGGTAGTCATGGGGTTCCAAATATGTTCATTTCTCCTGATTGATGGTCAAAAAATTAATAATTTTAAAAACAAGAAACTGGAAACTTTTAGCTTGTATTCTTTAGCCAGCAAAACGTGTTTAAAATGCTCCCCCATGCCACTCACCAGTCATATTTTCATTTGTGTTGTCTTCTATTTTATAGCTATCAAAAACATCTTATCCTTTGTGTATGCGTCAACTGCACACGGCAATGAAAGAAAACCACCACTTAAAGCACTTTGGCCGACTGCAATATGGCTTGTTTATTAAGGTAGATGACAACTTTGTCGAATGCACAACAGACTTAATACCAATCATTAACTGTAGGACATAAACGTTTTTTTCTTTATTATTATTTGAAAAATTCATTGGTTTCATTTATCAGTGATAAGTTTCTAAAGGGACCAATTTTGTTGACGATAGACTAATAAATCATTGTATGGCTATTGTAATTTCTTTTTATGCTGTCTTTCTTTCAATACCTTATCTGATGATCAATGTTTTTGGATGTCTTAATGTAGGGTATTGGACTCAGTTTGGAAGAAGCACTTATCTTTTGGAGATCTGAGTTCACAAAGCTTATGGATGTTGATAAGGTATCGGTATTTTTGACACCTAAGTGACAATGAGTAATACTTGATTTGGAAGTAACAAATATGATTCATGAAATAAAAAATGTTCAATAATAATGCTAACTATTAAAATCCTATTTACAATTAATTCGCTTGAAAAAAGGAAAAAACTACTCATTCAAAACACTATTTACAATTCCTGTCGATTTTAAAAAGCACTTAATTTAGCTTAGAAAGAGTTAATTTAACTAAGAAAAACTTATTCGAATTAAAAACATTTCATTTCAATAAAAAAAAAGCTGTCAGCCTCTAAAATTCAAAAGTTTCTTTCAACTGTTTAAAAAAACACAAAATAAAATAAAATAAAGACAATTAATAAAGCATCTATAGCTGTTGAGTCTAGGGAAGTCCTTATAATAATAATAATAATAATAATAATAATAATAATAATGACAATAATAATAATAAACTTTATTTACATGTCAGGATTTTTAGCTTACAAGCTAACTGGGGACACGACAAACACAGAAATAAAATGCTTAAGATTATAAATACAGTGGTGGAATTAGATCTATAAAGTGTATGATTAGATTCTATTGCTATATATAAGAATGTAAACACTAAAAATAAATTGACATCAACAAAATTCTCTTAACAAAGATAGTTACTGGTGCCATTATGTTACAGGTCAAATTTGATTTCAGGTTAATTTTGATTTAACCTCAGGTGATTCTTAATTTCCTTTTTCTCTTAGCCCCCGAAGACAAAGGAAATCCACAATCAACCTAGGTCAAATCATAATTAACCTGAAATCAAATTCGACCAGTAACAATTATTATATAAACACAATCATATTTTCATAAGTTTATTGGTTCCTGATTTTTTTTTTAAAAAAATATTTATTAATAACAATAAGGTTGAGAGGCATAAAAGGAGTATAAAATTACCAGTTAATTTGTTTAAAAATGATAATGATACAAGGGCAAAAAAAAATAAAATAAATAAATAACGTTTTTTATCTCCATGTTTTGTTCAAGTAGTTTGACAAACAGTATGCTTACAACATTCGGCACAGTTATGGGAAAGAAGGTAAAAGACAAGACTACACACCATACAGCTGCATGAAAATCATCATGACTAACCCACCTGGACCAGGAGATCATCATGGTAAAGCATCATATTTTTCAGTCTTCCCTCAGTGGCCTGTGCTCAGAGGCTTGTTGTCCATCCCTCAGTTTCTTTCCCTTGCAAAGAAGTTGATGTTTGCCCAAAGGCAGTGTAGGGGGAACAATGACAACACCATTTTCTTGACAGTTGAAAAAAAATTTTGGTTAATTTTCCAGCATGGAACGGATGGTCAGATGGAGAAGATTAATCCATCTGCTATTATTTTTTTTTTTCTGTTAACTATCCCCCAATATAATAGAGAATTTATAGTTCACCCTTCTGTCTTATTCTGAGGGGTCCATAAACAGTGTTTGTATTAACCAGGTGTGGGTGTTAAGCAGGTAGTGTTCATTTCATTGTACATCAAAATAAAAGGAAGGGAAGGGCTTTCCCAGTGACATGGTGAACCATGTGATAATTATAACAAGGTGTCTGTGAAGCAGGGTTCCAATGGTTGTTCCTTACACATTCATTGTGCACATGTAAGCATAAAATTGTGATAATGTCGTCAGGAGACACTTACCTTCTTTTTGATCAGTTATCTCCTGATCTCTTCACAGGCTGCCCATTCCGACACACAGATGCTGATCTACTGCGGCAACGTTTAGCAGCTTACAGGATTCCCAAGAAGGGTATTGATGAGGTACAGTTGAAAGCCATAACAGAAAAACGGGTTCTTTTCGAATACTGTCACAATGTCTTTAAGCAGAGTTCTTCATTACAAACAGGTGTGTTAAGGTGTAATAGTTCATACTGTACAATATTGGTCTCCTCTTCGTTTACAGATAATGGAGTTTGTCAAAGAGTCCCATTACCAGCTGGCTTGTACAAGATACTTTGAGCTAACACATGGGGTATGAACTGTTTCTCCATTTTAATTTGTTACATGCAATGGGATCACCATTAGAGTTCTATTTCTTCTAATTTTAATTTGTGTCAACTACCCTACCTAGGTAACTGCCAGCTCTGCCATAAACCATCCAAACCAATACTTCGATGAAAGCCGCCAAGTTCTGCAAGATGGAAAGGGTGGGGCATCACGCCTTGGAAATGACACTCCCAGTGGGCTTGAGCATGTAAGAGCTACTGTAAAGAATGAGAAAAATGGTGCACCTAATGCCACCACAAGTAATGACATAGGTGACATTCAAATGGATGATGACGATGACATGCTTGGGGAAATAGAAGGAATGGACACAATGGCTTAACTACAGCTGAAGTGGATCAAATGAAACTGATGTATAAAAAGGACTAACTTGATGTGATCTAGTCCAGAATTTTTAAATCAGGGATCTTAGCTTCAAGTTTCTTGATGGCTCTTAAGGTTCCTCAACGTGTGGGAATAATCGACAGAAGTTATCAAACACCTATTCTGCATTGCAGAGGTGCACCAAGTCTTGATATAAATGTAATGTAGTTTCTGATCTGAAAACTTTTACTTTTTTGCTATCTGTGTTAAAAAAATGTACACTATGATTTAAAGATTATCAGTTGAAAAGTTTATTATTTTTTCATACAAATCTACTTTTACAACACATTTCCTTCAATACTACAGTCATTACTGTTAGTTTACATGTATGATGTTGAATAATGACTTATAAGACTGTTGCGCATTTCAATAAAAAATGTGAACTTACAACTTCAATACACGCAAAAAGTACATACCTTTTTAAAAACGCTTACTCTACAAATGCAGGAAAGTGTTGATAGTGACACTGAAGCGTCCACACGTCCAGTCTAATAAGTAATTTTTCTTGTTTAATGTCTCTGCAGTTTGCTTTCAACTGGACTTATTATACATTGTATTTGTATTAACTACAAAAGTGGGAAATCTTTCACTAATTGTATAAACTATTAAACCAATTATCATCACAAGAATTATAAATCTTTTGTTCCTTTTTTTGCTATCAAACAGTTCTTAATCTAAACACTATTGTTTTATGTTCTATAGACATCAGATGTCACAACAATATCTTTTCGCAATAAATATTTAGTAAACTTCCCTAGCAAAACATTACACCCATTTTTTGTACAATATTGCTGTTTTGGATTATAATTTATAGGACTGAGTGGAGTCCAATTCAGTCTGTAATCACTTGAGTACTTACTCAAAATCTGATTTGTTTGAACACAACAGTAATTTAACCAGATGATCACAGACAGAACTGGATGACCTGTAGAGTCCCTATAAGCAGTTAATCATAACTAAAACAATAGACATTTGGCTAGATACACAACAATTTCCCATTATAATAACTTTGGAAGCAAACAAACCAGATAAAATACAAACAAAACTTCACGCACCTACAATAATTATCATCCTGTTATGCATCTTTCGTGTAAAAAAAAACTAACTAAGAGAGAAGTTCTAAATTTAAAGGAAGATTCCTTAGCAGCACATGAGTTAGCCGTCACATTTGCCCATTGGATTTTTCTATTGTCAAAAATAATAAAAAATTCCAGCGAGCAAATGCAATGGCTATTCCCTTATACCACAAATGAATAAATATAAATATAAAACACTTACACTACATGAGAACATACAAGAAAATGCTGCATCATTTTTGTACACAAACCTCAAGTTGTGCTGGTACTGATACTATTATTCTACTCCAATTTAGCAAACAGTGTTTAAGTGTTATAATTGTGGTAATGCACAAGATAATTATGCGATGATCGGACTCAAACTTTTCCCTTAAAGGAGGCTTGCACTGTTGAAGAGTCCAAGGGTGTAGTCAGTAAGTTAAGCAGACACCAAATCCTCATCTGAGTCATAATCACTGGAGTCCAGCTCCTCATCCACCACTGACTTGCGTTTCTTAGCTATTGAAACACCTAGTCCTATAATGTACACCTGTTGGTAAAAATAGCCATTGGATTGTAAGGATGGCAAGACACTATTAACTGAAAGCATAAGTTACCACAACAATGTACAGGGCCCAGTTGTTTGGCTGTTTCTTGGTGTTGCAGAAACTATTATTAGTTTGCTTTTGTTGTTTTGGTGAGGGTATTGTTCATGTCTTTTCAGTCTTTTGTATTACATAATTTAGTGATTGCAGCCATCAAAAACACTAAGAAACTACCAGTTGCATCCTTAATAAAATAATGATGGAACTTTAAGAAAATGTTATTTATTTTTTTGTAGGTATAAAAACCTTTGAGATATTGACATGTATTAAAAACCGCATTTTTATGAAAAATGTGAAATAATAACTTCGAAATCCCATGACAGATTTTTCCCTAACTTCAGCAAATAAGCCTCAGAGCTCCTAGGTTTGAAATCAATTGTGACCGTAGAACTCGCTACACAAAGTGTTAGTCAAATTTAACCTTCACATGCTACGCTAACACATTTTGTGAAAGTTGACACACAAAAAGAGGAAGAGTGCCAAAAGACTATCTCTTATCTGAAAGGGTATTCATTACCTAAAGCTTTAGTGCAAGAAACTGAGTAATCAGAAGCCTACGGCATAGCATATTAATTTGACCAGCGTGTTAAGCAGCAAGTTATATGGTCACGACTGACTTCAAACTTGCAGATATAAAGCTAGTGAGCTCCGAGGCTTATTTGCTGAAGTTAGGGAAAATATGTTGTGGGATTTTGAAATTACTTACAATATCGCAAAGGTTTTTATAACTACAAAAAAATAAATAACATTTTCTTAAAGTTCCCTCACGATTTATCACGGATGCCAAAAATAATAGAAATTGGTTGAATTTTTCAAATTGAATAAAAAACATTACCAACACTCATATAAATAGGTTCTGACCATCTTAACCCAGCTTTGAACAACCTGGCCCAAACTGTAAGTTCCTGTGAAACAGACTGGCGCAAACTTGGGATACAATGAACAAACATGAAATAACACAGTTAATGTGCGATCACATACAAAGAACAAGGGAAGAAGCATGCCTGATAGTAGGTTCCAACTTTGTGTTAGGCAAGTACAGGTCTCCAATGACTAGAGTTTTTTTAAAACAATCAATGCAAAGAAGTCCCACTCACCACCAAAAAGAGCCATGTTCCCCAGTAATAACAAGCACCGAAGAACCACACTTTGTAGAAAAATCTGTTTAGGAACACAGCAGCTCTTGTCATAATACATTTACCTATAATAAAGATGAGATAAAGAGTAGTGGTATTGCTAACTGTAACAATAAATTATAATAACTATTACAAAACTGTTAAAAAAGTACATTTTTAAACACTTCAAGAGGGAATTAGTGATGATTTATGAGATCACACTAGAATGTGTCATACATTGAAGTACAACCTTTGAGTCTCTCATTCTCCCATTCATGACATGTTGATTAATTGCATTATAATATTTTTGAGCCTGGATTGAGTCAATGTTTTTTTTATTGTGAGTATTCAAGTAAGAACTTCATAAAGAGGTATTTTCCGGAGGTTTCTTTACTAAGAGTCAGCTACGGTTGAAACCTCGTTAACTCAATCAATCTCATTTTAACTTGAACCTGGGCCATTAATGCAGAATCATTTTACTTTCCGTCAAGGGGTTCATTTTCAGTGAATGTTAAAAGTACCTCTGTAACTCCAGTGCTGGATCCAGACCTTGTAGTCTGATCTACACTCAAAGTGTTCTTGGTTTCCCATTAGCAGAGTTTTACTAAAGTTCTTGCTTTTGAGTAAAGAAGTACCTGGTATTTTAGTGTTCATTTAAATCGTTCCACTAAGGAACTCATGAAATCTGAGTGTGAAAACATATGGCATATATGAATGGTTGACCACGTAGTCAGAGTGTCTGAAGTCAAACACGTCTTCGTCAACCCTGTGAAATTGGGGTAGTTGTATTTCCAGGCACTGTGCTATCACGTGGAGTTGGCTGTGGAGTAGGGGTAGTTGTGTTTCCAGGCAGTGTACCATTAGGTGGAGTGACCGTTGTTTGGGGATGAGCAGTATCATTAGTCTAAGAGTCAACACAATTAAAACAATTAATTTTAATTATTTAATGTATTTAAATATAAACTGAAATTTGCTATGAGATGCAGTGATTGTTTTTACCATCCAACCCAAACAGGTGGTAGGTACAGGTAAGTTAGGGACACAGACAGCTTTTTTGTCTTAAGTCAAGAAAATACAGTGGTAGCTCTCCTAATGGACACTCCATAAGCTGAAAGCTCTACTTACAGCCACCTTCACAAAACACCATTTTTCTCAACTCCCCTACAAAATCTCTATTAATTTTTTACATTCTCGTAAGTGGCCAGCCCCAGTTAAAGACACCTTTTTCACGTCTTGAGGGTGTCAGCTTACCAGAGCTTCCACTGTACAATACAATTTTAGAAAATACAATAAAATAATTAAAATATCTATTGTATTTTCCTGATTAAACACCGGGCCTTGAATAAACACCAGGTCAAAAGGTAACAGGGAAGTTGTTGATAAATAAACTGCCCAGCCTTTTTTTGTGGGTTGAACTTACAGCATGGACGGTATATTATCCCATGGTGTATCTGGTGTATTGACCAGTGTCTACTTACTTTCATATAATGTTGGCTGCCATACATGACATACTGTGGTGCCAGAGTGAACAACATGATGTTCAAGAACAACATGGTCAGCATAAGCATCAGAATCAGGAACAGTAGAGCCTGTGGCATAGTTTTGCGAGCACGTATCTTATAGAGCTTTCAAACAAGTCAAGGATGGTTCGTAGGGAAGGTACTTTGGATTGGTGGTTTAGAATAATAAGAAGGGCTAGGATTAACATTATGCTATGAAGTGACGTTATGGGGTCTTTTCTCCCAAAGACTGAATGTTGTTTTTTATTATAGTAAAGTTTCTGGGGGAACTTTTCATGTATCTTAGCACTGACAAAGTTTTTTGGTCATCACAATCATTAAAGCAAACTTAATTTTGACTGACTGACTTCATGTGACACTACGAGTGATTTTTTACCCAGAGACACAAAATAATTTATCGCATCCGTCCCGTATAGTAGGACCCAAAGAGCGATCAATTGATCTGGACATGTGTATTTGTAGGAATATCCCGTTCATGTAATTTCTGTGGTAGTTGTTATGGCTGTGTAGTGTAGTTGTTTAACGATGCATATTTTTTTGGCCTCTATTGTGCTTTAAAATAGAAGGACAATACTTTAATTTCAGCGTGCTGTAATACAGATCAAAGAGTTTTAGAGTCTGTCTTCAGATTCATGGTCTGGTTACATAAAGGCCCAAACTAGTATCATCAATTTCAGACTTTTATTTTTAACTGGGACTTATTGATTCTGGACTGGGACTCATGATTTTTCACAAGATGAGTCCCGAGTCAGCATAACTTATTTGTAACAAATCACTGGACTACATCATTATCATGTCCTATGCCATGCTCATGTTAAAGTTTGGGGACTCAGTTGATTGGTGTTGATTGTGGGTGGGGGTGGGGGGGGGGGGGTACGGCAAAGAGAGGGGTTTGCGGGTTTTAAAATCAAAAGGGTTGACCCCCCCAAAAAAAATAATATAAAATAAAAAAAATTTCTTC